TCGAAGTTTCCTCTGCAAATAGTGCTTCTTGTTGGGTTCCATGTTAATGTGTGGGGGCTTTTGCGGCAAATCAGTGCAGGTGCACTGCGCTGATCGAACACCACCTGACTGATTCACTTCCTCATCCTGAATACACCGCCACTACCGTCAGCGAGTACCCTTGGCAACTCATGTTGGATCTAGGCATGATCCTTAAAACAAACACATGAAAACTTGGCTTTTGGATCGCAAAAGCAAAGGGCCTGAAACCAAGCTGAGCATGCAAGCAGGGCCCAACGGAAAGCCTTGCCTCTTTGGGCAGGAATTCTGGTACCAGCGTGAGGTGGAGCCGGATGGCGCTGGTTTCTGGCTGCTGGTCATGCCCCGCGATCTGAGCGGCGATGGAACTTGGGACGGCTCCTGGACCCTCTCTGCCATAACTCCATGTATCATTTTTGTTTAAGTCAGGGAGATTGCCAGTCTTGTAAGTCCTTTCCTTCAAGGAGTCCTTCTCACTTATCTCCCGCTTGCTTTGTCAGGGTTAAAACAGTTTACATGACCACGGTGCCATGTTCTGGGCCGCGGAAATCACTCTGAAAGTTATAAGGCGCGTTTAACACCAAAGTCGCTCAAGGTAGCAGTTCAAGATGAGCAATAGCCAGCAGCTTCAAAGCCAGACTTCCAAACGTTTAACCAAACGGGCCTTGGGCCGGAATCAACGGTGCGTTACCTTCCCCAAATGAAAAGACGCTCATGTCAGAAAGCCTCGTAGGAAAGGACATGCCTTCTTTCTAGTGGGTCCGCATGGACAACATTAAATAGATCTGGGAAATGATGGGAACCAAGCTGGAATCAGTCCTCGGAAAAAACACGACTTATTCACGCCCGCTGCCCGGGTTGAGCAACTGTACATGTCCATGGGAATTGTCTCGCACCTGTATATGTGGACGTGCGTACTTACCTGAAACATGTACGTCTGAAGGTGCATGTCTCTGGAATCTTGCGATCCTAGGACAAAAAAACAACAACTCGTGCTCTGTGCTGCCCGTCAGCTAAGCCTTAAGCTCCTCCTGCCCCCCCCCCCTCCCACCCATGCACCGATCCACCGATTGCGCCGCCACGGGGCACGTTCCGGCCATGGCTCCACCGCCACCTGCATGCCTGGCCGCTCAAGGTTCAGGTACGTCGAGGCCTGGGTCACTGCCTCAGCACAGCGCTGAGCTGAGGCTGAGGCTTGCCCTCGACTACGCCTTCCAAAGTGACCAAACCTTGATATCTTTGTCCGTGAACCTTCCGCTGAAAGCTCAAAACAAAAACCCAACGAAACCAAAGGAAAATCCCACAAAGCAATGGGCAACCAAAGCGACCAACAAGACATATCCAACCAAAGTGACCAAACAACACCAAGACCCAATGGAAACCAAAGGGAAACCCATACAAAACCCATCAGAAACTGACGGAAACCCACAGAAACCCATACGAAACCCCTGAGAAACCCATACGAAACCCATAGAAAACCGAAAGAAAACCCATAGCACACCTTGAGAAACCCACCCATAGGCCCATAGGACGTCTTTTTTCTTTTTCTCCCCTCGCCTTGAGCGCGGTGAGCTGGGCCTTGGGCCCGCAGGCGTCCATGGCCACCTGCTGGTCCTTGAGCATCTCCCCGGCCACCGCCCCGGCCAGGCGACCCACCGAGGTCTCCGCGCCCACCTGGAGGAAAGGTCGGCCGCCTATGGGGAGGCTCCAAATGGATGGCTTCCAAAACCACAATTTCTGTATAGAACTAAATGGGCTGGAACTGAATGGGTTTCTGGAACTAAAAGGGTTTCTGAAACTAAATGGGTTTCTGAAACTAAATGGGTTTCTGGAAATAAAATGGGCTGGAACTAAATGGGTTTCCAGAACTAAATGGGTTCTAGAACTAAATGGGATGGAACTGAATGGGTTTCTGGAACTAAATGGGTTTCTGCAACAAAATGGGTTTCTAGAACTAAATGGGTTTCTGGAACTAAATGGGTGTCTGGAACTAAATGGGCTGGAACTGAATGGGATTCTAGAGCTAAATTGGTTTCTGGAACTAAATGGGTTTCTAGAACTAAATGGGTTTCTATTCTATAACTAAATGGGTTTCTGAAACTAAATGGGTTTCTGGAAATAACTGGGCTGGAACTAAATGGGTTTCTGGAACTAAACGGGTTTCTAGAACTAAATGGGTTTCTAGAACTAAATGGGTTTCTGGAACTAAATGGGCTGGAACCAAATGGGTTTCTGGAACTAAATTGGCTTCTGCAACTAAATTGGTTTCTAGAACTAAATGGGTTTCTGGAACTGAATGGGCTGGAACTAAATGTGTTTCTGGAACTAAACGGGTTTCTAGAACTAAATGGGTTTCTAGTACTAAATGGGTTTCTGGAACTAAATGGGCTGGAACTAATTAAATGGGTTTCTGGAACTAAACAGGTGTCTAGAACTAAATGGGTTTCTAGTACTAAATGGGCTTCTGGAACTAAATCGGCTGGAACTAAATGGGTTTCTAGAACTAAGTGGGTGTCTAGAACTAAATGGGCTGGAACTAAATGGGTTTCTGGAACTAAACGGGTTTCTAGAACTAAATGGGCTGGAACTAAATGGGTTTCTGGAACTAAACAGGTTTCTAGAACTAAATGGGTTTCTAGTACTAAATGGGTTTCTGGAACTAAATGGGCTGGAACTAATTAAATAGGATTCTGGAACTAAACGGGTTTCTAGAACTAAATGGGTTTCTAGTACTAAATGGGTTGCTGGAACTAAATGGGCTGGAACTAAATGGGTTTCTAGAACTAAATGGGTTTCTAGAACTAAATGGGCTGGAACTAGCTGACCTGACCCCTTGGTTGGGACCAAACGGAGCCGGGAAAAGGACCAATCTAGAGGGAAACCAGAAGGACACAATGTACTTTGCAAACAAACCTTGTGAGCAGTCCTGCTGATGAACCCAATCCGCTTCGCAGGGGGGATTTCTGGCACAACTCGGGTACATGTAGGTTAATGCCACATGGAGTGGTTGGGTTTGGACTTTGCCGGCAAAATGCCCATAAATGGCAAAATGGATTGATTCTGCAAGGAATGTTTGGACACATGTTCCCCCTGGTGGGTTCATCGTTAAATGATGTTAAATAACGGTCCCCATGTCGCACCCCGGTGCCTGGTGCCCCACGTTGCTCTCCTTTGAAGGGGTTCGCAAAAAAGGTCAAACAAAGAGTCGTCCCTTGGTTTTGTTGTGAGCAACCGTCATTTAAACCCTGGGCCATTGTGGTTCTGCATAAACACCCGGACAAACCTCGACACACACTCCCAGACAACCCTCTGGACAACTTTGAAGGCGCAACCCCCCCGGACAAGTTGCCGGACGGGCTTGACATTTGCTTAGGCCCAAAAACCCGGGACAGCCCTAGGCAAAGCCCCGGACAGGTGTGGAACACTTGCAAACCACTCGGAGGCTACTCGGAGGCAAGCTGCTCGGACAACCCTCTGAAAACCCGACAGCTTTTTGTGCACCGCTTTGTCCCGCCCGAGAGCGTGTGCGCGTGTGCGCGTGTGTAGGTGTATGTTTGTGAGAGGGCATCTGGCTTCCAGCGGTTGCTTACTCCAAGGCGGACTTTTCGCAGAAAAATTAACTGCCGAGTGCTCTGGCCCCCAAACTCCCGCTGTCCGGTGAAGAGCAGTGAGAAACTATGGGAAGCGAGGGCAAAAAGCAAGGAGGGAAGCATACTACTAGGTGGATCTTTAAAGCAGGCCACATGAGGCCAAGGCTGGAAAATCCTTCGCAGTTTGGCCCAGCGACCGGTAGGGCGAACCTTCGCGAACCGGCCTTCAACATCCGCAGCTCTGCGAAGCTTCGAGCGGCGAATCGGGGCGTCCATCGCGCAAGCGCAAGGATGGCTGTCATCGTTTGGCAAAGTGCACGGAGGGTTATGGAGCCATGGGGCACCCAGAAAAACTGAAATTCCGGGAAAACCAAGAGCGCGAGGCTTGCAGCTACTGGGACATGTTGCCGAAAGCTGAACCTGAATTTGAACAAGCATGGCGTGTCATACCTCCTGCAGAGCTTGTCATCAGACCTGGTGCGTGCACTGGAATTTGCCTATGGCAGTCCTCTCAGATGCCGGCCGCAAGCCTATGACAGGCCCTGCTTGCATGATGACGCGGGCAAGGCCGAGGAAAAACACGCACTGCACCAATAAACCTGCACCGGTGCTCCAATTGTGCGAGGGATATCAAGCCGGCTGCATGCCAAAAGGAATCGTCAAGGGGGACCTTGCATTTTGTAAAAGGTCAGATTTATTAAATACCAAAACGAGAGGCCTCGACCGGGCCCTTGGCTGCAAAAGCATGGGGGGGCCCCTCGTTTCAGTGGGCTTGAAAAAGGCAGCCAACAGGATACCAAAGAGCACTTAGGGAGGAAGCAACAAAATGCCGCCGGGGGGGGGGTCGCAGAAGGAGCCTGCGATGAACCCGCAGGTCGCTCTCTCTGTGTCACCCCTCATTTTGGCTAAGAGTGGTTCAAGCCACTGCTTGCAGCCAAGCTGTCAATACTGAGAATGTCCAGCGGCACATGGGTTTGTCCTAGGGGTTTGCTTTTGGTGCCAAGCAAACAAGCACCTGGCTTTTCAACCAGCAAATGAAGAAAACATAAATGGCCATTGGCAGCCAACAAATGAGGGCCATAATCATCCAGAAGGCAACTCATTTTTACTTCCTAGTGAGAAATCAATCTGGGTGTTTGCTTGTTTAGGGTTGGAGCACATTCCTTCGGGGAAGCGAACACCCCCCACCATTCATGACCCATCACAGCTCTAGTGAATCAGGCCTGAGGGTATGTCTGAAGATAGAGGGCCCCCCATGATGGGTGTCCTTTTGGTGCCCCTTTACTTGCTTCAGTCAGCTAAGTCATGAATGAGCGGTCTACTGGCATGAATCAAACCAACCCTTCAGCTTCTTCTGGGCCTCATCCGGGATCCGTTTCTGGGGCACCCTGC